CATGTTGACATCCAGTTATACCAGAACCATTTGTTGAAGATTTTCTTTTTTTCCATTGTATAGTTTTGGCTTCTTTGTCAAAAATCAAGTGTTCATATGTACGTGGATTAATGTCAGGGTCTTCAATTCGATTCCATTGGTCTGGTTGTTATTTATTAAGTGGCACTGTTAACCGTATGAGAGAAGCCACAAGGCACAACAAAAACCATTAAAAGAGTTTATTAAGGGAAGGGAACAGAGGTGTTTGCATAGGCCTATGGAATGATCATGAAGGAAGAGAGGGGAGGAGCAGGTGGAACCAGCTTTTATGGGTCCCCCTCCCCACCCTGCCCCCTCGCACATGCACATATGGGCTTATGTAGCCACGCCATGCATGCACACAGATTGCATGGCCACGCTGAGTGCAGATCACATGATCACATAGTGTAAGGATTACGTAGGATGCAAAGCCCTGGGATGACTAAGCATCTTGCCTGGGTACCGGGGAGCACATGTGCAGTGGTGTAGCTGGGGGAGTGGCCAGGAATTCTAACGATGGTTCTTACAATAAGAGTGACAAATTATCTTGAGCTACCTTTATCTCATTTACTTATCATTCCCTGCCACCTCTGTGTCTCACTCAACATCCTGTGACTTTTAGTTGAATCCACTAGCTTCCTCCAACCCAAAGGCTAAGAATGTTGTCAGATAGCACCTGACGACTTTAGCAGAGATGTTCCCAATTTACTGTAACCTGCTTTATAAGTGGGGTTTTCTGCCCACCAGATACATAAAGTGAGGACATGATCGCTCCAAGGAGTGGTTGAGGGGAAGGCTTTTACTGTAGACGTGAGGGGGGCAGTAAGAGGCACCTGGAAGAGTCCAGAGCAAAGAAACATGGCCAGCAGACTGAAAGGACTATGAGAAGGGGAGAGGGGGGCAGGGTGAGCCCCAGGAGATAAGAGAGAAAAGGGAGTCAAGAGGACTAAGAGAGAGCCAAGAAGGCGCACAGCAGAAATGGCGGGGTTGTAGTGTGAGGAGTTGGGGGAAGAGAAGCCCCAAAGCTGGGAAAGCTAGGGCAGGGGCGGGGTGAGAAGAGCCAGGATACCCACGTGGACTGTGGAAACAGGTACTAGTGATGCCCAGAGAGCCTGGGGCCAGCTAGAGCTCTGGCACGCTATTGGCACCACAGTTAGCCATTTGTTTCTTTTGGGTCTGACACCTACTACCTACCTGATGTTCCCACCAATGTATTTTTTATTTAAAACTCTAGATTTGTTTATTTTTATGTGTTTTGTCTGCACACATGTGCAGCACATGCGTGCCTACGGAAGTCAGAGCAGCAGCTTCCCTGACACTGGCCTTACCATTGGTTGTATGAAGGCACTCCAGCCAGCTCGAGACCGGCAAACAGGGCTCCGGCAGGCCTTGTCCTTCTCTCCCATCCCCTCTGCCTTAACCGAAAAACAAAAACAAAACAAAACAAAATGTTAGATCCGTTCCTAAAGCTAGCCCCCAAGGTCCATTCCCTTATTTGGCCACTTCCTCCTCCTGAGGCTGACCACCAAGGTCCAGCTATTAAAGTTTTGAAGTCCAGCAATCAAAGCCCCTGCGGCTACCTTAATTAACATGTCCAATTAAACACCTCGTCCCAATGCAGGGTTTCCCTGTTTACCTTTATAAGCTACTATTTCCTGTGGCCCAAGTCTGTCTCCTCTCTATCCAGAGCAGTCCTTTGTGTCCCTCCAGGAGAAATGCCCCTCCCTTCATCCTCATTTATTTATTTACTGCCCTTTGTTCTTCTGGGGCAAAGAAATCTCCTTTGTGCTAAGAACTCGGTCTAGGGGGTCCTGAGCCAGTTCCTCACATTGTAAGCCTCCGTTGAGTGCTGGGAACTGAATGTGGGTCCGCAGCTCAGGCGACAAGTGCTCTTAATTACGGAGCCGTCTCTCCAGTCCTTCATCCAAAGCATTCTGAAAGTTCGCCCATTTATGACTTCCTTTTGTTCTGTTACAATACATCCAAGAAAATGCTACAGCATTGAAACAGGGTGCTGGGGTGGGATCTGGACTCCTGTTCCTGGCTCATGGCCACTCAGATTTACACCAGATTAAACTATTTCTAATTCCTTATTATTTATTTATTATTTATTTAATGTATGTCTGTATGAGGGTGTCAGATCCTCTGGAAATGGAATTACAGACAGCTATGAGCTGCCATGTGGTTGCTGGGACTTGAACGTGGGTCCTCTGGAAGAGCAGTCAATGCTCTTAACCTCTGAGCCATCTCTCCACCTCTAATTCCTTTTGAGGCGAGAGCTAGGTGTTTGCCCCGACACCTGCAAATCAGTCTATGGCTGAGTCTTGTCTGTAACTCTTGATCTTCGTGCCTCCCAGGTGTTGGGATTAAAGGAACACAGGATGCCTGATTGAATGCAGGGGCCCCTGCAGCCTAGGCAGGTACTTAGACTCAGTCCCTAGCAGCAACTTGTTTTCTTATCAATATCGACTTTTCGAATTACTCTATCTACTTAGGAGTGGTTTCTTCCTTTTTGAAATGTATTTTCATTCTCTCTCTTTCTCTTCCTTCCTTCTTTTTGATACTCTCCAACAAGTCCACTGAAAAGGAATTGTCCTGCTGGGTGGTGGTGGTGCACGCCTTTAATCCCAGCGCTCCAGAGGCACAGGCAGGCTGATCCCGAGTTCAAGGCCAGACTGGTCTACAAATCGGGTTCCTGGACAGCCAGGGCTACACAGAGAACCCCTGTCTTGGAGAGAGAGGGAGGGAGGGAGGAAGGGAGGAAGAGAGGAAGGAAGGGAATTGTCCAAACTTAAGGCCTCATGCAAATCCAGAGGAGAACTGCCGAGCGCCACCTGAGGTTCACCCACAGTCCAACAGTTAAAACGCTTTTCGGAAGCTTTGCTTTCAGACAAGGGGAACTCAGGCGAGAAACGATCCCTTATAAAACATTCTGGATCGGGTGATAGAGCTTGCCTAGTGCACTTGAGGCCTTAGATTCAATCCTCAGCGGGAGGGAAGGAGTAGGAGACTCTGCAGACATTGATAGGAACTGCCCAGGTGAGACCTGGAGAGGTGTGGGCCAAGTTCTGGGCTGGACCTGGAAGTTAGGCAGGTCCCACGGCAATTCTGAGTGTAGGAGGTAGTTCTAGAATCGCCCAGACGTGTGTGTGTGTGTGTCCACACTCACTTTGGTTTTCATTTTCTGAGACATCTCCCTCTGGAGGCCAGTCTGGCCTGGTCCTTGCCACAGTCCTTCCGACTCAGTCTCCCCAGTGCCGGGATTCCAGGCATGAAACGACCGCGCTCAGCACTTGGTGCTTTTCCTTCTCTGGATCTCCCCGGTACAGTGAGGAGGGCCCTGACTCCCACCCCATTTCGTTAAAGTGACAGTGTCCGCGGAACTTTGCGGTCAGTGAAGTGGGTAGGCGTAAGCTCTGGGGTCGGGCCTGGAAGCATGTGACGGTGATGAGCTTTTCAGGCTGTGATCTCCGCGCTGCTCCATCTTTCTCCTTCCACCGGTTGGCTCCAGGGCGAGGGCAGGGCAGAGACCGGAATAGAAGAGCTAAATTTATCCTGGGAGCCCGGGCGTGGCTGCAGCTGGGCCGGCCGGCCGGGGCGGAGGCGGTGCCTGGACGAGGCGGCGCTCGGTGGCCCCGAGCTGGTTTCCTGCCTAGGAAATGAGGTCTGGCCGAGGCGGAGGAGCGCGGACTGGAATTTCCCCACAGCGCCGCCCTGCTCGCCGGGACCGGGAGGGGCCGCCCGATGGAGGCGCAGCCGGGGAGATGCCCGAAACCCAGAGCCGGCCCGCGGCCTGAGCCCCCGACTTCACATATGCGAGTTAAAATGGAAGAAAAGACATATTGTGCTTAAGGAGGGCGGGCGAGTGCCACGGCGCACTTTTCTCTCCTTGCACCCTGCCTGTCCCGAGGGCTGAATTTATGTGGTCAGCCCTTTACTGGCTGACCATCTCTCCGGACCCCATTTTTTTGTTTGTTTTGTTATCGCTGACCCAGGACAGATTCGCCAACACTGAACTCTAACCCCAGACTACTTATTTGAGATAGGATATCATGTAGCCCATTGTGGCCCCAAACTGGCTATGTAGCCAAGGCTTACGAGAGATGGTTCATGGTTAAGAGCACATGCTGCTCTGGAACAGCTTGTTCGAATCTTAGCACCCACACGACAGCTCACACTTATCTCCAACTCCAGTTCCAGGGGATCTGACGCCCTCTTCTGGCCCCCTTGGGCACTGCAGACAAACACATATTAAAGGTGTACATAAATAAACAACAACAACAAATCGACAAAGAATAAAACTCCAAGGGAACCGTAAACTTTTCTGGCGATTTCAGATGGTGCTTCCAATTGTCCAAAGTTTTAAAATTCCTAAAAACAGGACAAAAATCACCAGAGATAGTGTCGAAGCAAAGCAAAACCCCCTCAGGCAAATTCAAAAGGAGGGTTGGACTGTACTCCCCTATCCAGACATCCCTGTGAGGATGGGTTCTTTTCTCTAAAGTCGATCCCAGGCAGGGGCTGACTAGGGTCCTCTACAGTCCAACTCTCAGGCTCAGGAAGGACAGCCTCCCGGGTAGCTGTGTGATTGAACCCAAGCCTTGCATCCTAAGACTAGGAGACCAGAGTTTTCACAGACTGGGGGTGTGGCTCAGTGGTGGTGTACTTGCCCAGCAAGCCCAAGACCTTAGCAAAGGGGAGAAGAGGAGGAGTGAGCGAGAGTCTCGCTATCTCACGAGGACATCGACAGCTAGAGACACCCGCAAAGCAGGCATGCAGCGACTGTGAACCGGAGAGCGTTAGGGGACCCGCCCAGACACACTCCGTTGCCCAGCAATACGTCAGGGATGACACACTCTCCTGTTTGGGCACAGGCAGAGTCACGGGAGGGAGGGAGCAGCCAGATGCTGTCCCTGACTGTGCGCTTGTCCACGGGGAAAACCTCCCAGTCACAGGTCACACGCAGCTGGGTTGGTCAAGAGCCCACGTCCCACACCCAGACACAGACACTGTCCGCACAAAGGCCCCACCCGCCAATGCTCGGTCTCGCACACACACTTCTGAGTGGCCAGTCTAGACTCCTGGCCTCCTCTTGTTTCCTTTTGGAAAACCTTCAGCTTTTCCATTTTAATCAGGCAGTGAGACAACAGTCTATTTCTGTCACTTCTGAGTGTTGGCCAAAGATTGTTCTTTTGAAATACCCACAGTAAGTAACAAATAATGCCCCTGACCTTTGCTCTAAGATTTTACTATGCTAACACGGAGCACAGTGTGAATGCTTAGAGGGCAGTTTTGATTTGTTTGTTTGTTTGTTTTGAGTTCAGGCCTCACTTCGTCGTAGTCCCAGCTGTCTGGAATTCACTGACGATTTGTCTCCTGAGCCCTGGGATCACAGGTGTACATCGCCTGGTCTGTTTTTATGTGGTGTTTGGCATCAAACCCAGGAATACAAGCATGCAAAACAAGAACTCTGCTAATTGAGGTACACCCCCAGTCTTCATTTTATTTTGATTTTTTTTTTTTTTTGAGACAAGGTTTCAGTATGCAAGCTCTGGCTGGCTTGGAACTCTCACTGTAGCCCAGGCTAGCCTAGAACTCAGATCCACCTGCATCTGCCTCCCAAGTGCTGGGATTGAAGTCCTGCACCACCACACCAGCTCTCTCTGCCTTGTTTTTTTTTAAAGACAGGGTCTCACTGTATTCCCCTGGATGACCTGGAACTCAATAAATACACCAAGCTGGTCTTGAACTCAAAGAGACCCACTTGCAGGGAGGAAGCCTTGAGGGAATGGAATTCTGAGGGAATGTGTATTGTTGACATGGCACAGGACTCCAAGGCCTGGGACCCACAAAAATTAACAAAGTGCTTTACCCAGGCTGAAGAGGGTCTCAGAGCTTCCTAAAAGGTCTTAGTGGGAGTGAGCAGGATATACAACTAGTACCTAACTGCAGCTTCTTCCTCCAGCATGCTTACACCCTGAGACTGCTCCCTTCTGGAACTTCCACTGAGAGGAGCCAAGCCCTCCTAACTGAGCACTGAGGTTTGTTCTCTTTTGGGGAGGTAGTAGGTGGCCCCTCACCATGCACACTCCCACCTGATCACAGCCTTTCTTCATTACCTCATCACCCCTACTCAGGGTTCCAGGACCCGAGGCTCACTGGACCGGGTACATCTGTCTCCCCAGCAAGACTACTGGATTAAAGGTGTGAGTCATCATGCCTGGCAATTTTAAGATTTTTTAAAATTTTATTTATTTTTTATATTATGTGTATCAGGTCCCCTGGAACTGGAGTTACAGGCAATTGTGAGCTGCCATGTGGGTGCTGGGAATTGAACCTGGATTTTCTGGAAAAGCAGTCAGTGCTCTTAACCACTGAGCCATCTCTCCAGTCTCCAATTTTAATTATTAATAAAGGGTGTTCGAGGTGTGTTTGGGTTTAAGAAACAGGCAAGCGCATCCATTTTACAACGGTTATTAAAATTATGTGGACTAGCCGGGCGGTGGTGGCACACGCCTTTAATCCCAGCACTCAGGAGGCAGAGGCAGGCGGATCTCCGTGAGTTCGAGTCCAGCCTGGGCTACCAAGTGAGTTCCAGGAAAGGAGCAAAGCTACACAGAGAAACCCTGTCTGGAAAAACCAAAAAGAAAAAAAAGAAAAGAAAAAGAAAGTTATGTGGACTAGAGATGGCTAATTGGTTAGGAAGACTGCCTGCTTTTCCAGGGAACCTGTTTTTGGTTGTTGTTTTTTTTCTTTTTTAAGGTTTATTGATTTATTTATCAGTGTTCTGCCTACAGGCCAGAAGAAGGCGCCAGATTTCATTATAGAGGGTTGTGAGCCACCATGTAGTTGCTGGGAATTGAACTCAGGACCTCTGGAAGAGCAGCCAGTGCTCTTAACCTCTGAGCCATCTCTCCAGCTCCCATGAGCCCTCTCTCCAGTTCCTGGGAACCTGATTCTGATTCCCATCACACACGTAGTGGCTTACAACTACCAGTACCAGGGCATCTGATGCCCTCTTCTGGGCTCCACAGACACCAGGTGCATGCGGGCGCACAGACATATGTATAGGCAAAACACCTATACACAAAAATGTATAAATGATAATGAAATTCTCACTATTATGGCCTGCTTCCAAGGAGAAGAGAGGATGGGAAAGAAGGGAGGGGGTGTGGAGGGAGGCAGGTTTTCTCACTGATTACTTCAAGTACATGGAAGAGGAACTTTATTTTATTTATTTATTTATTTATTTATTTATTTGGTTTTTCGAGAGAGGGTTTCTCTGTGTAGCTTTGTGCCTTTTCCTGGAACTCACTCGTTAGCCCAGGCTGGCCCTGAACTCACAGAGATCCACCTGCCTCTGCCTCCCGAGTGCTGGGATTAAAGGCGTGGGCCACCACCGCCCGGCCTATTTATTTTATTATTATAATGAACATCCTTAATTTAATTTTATTCAGTGTGTGTATGTGTGTGTGTGTGTGTGTGTGTGTGCGCGCGCGCGCGCGCGCGTGCGCGCGTGCATGTTAGTGAGTGCAGGCCTGTGCTCTGGTGCTCATGTGGACATCAGAGGACAATTTTTGAGAATCTTTCCAAGCAAGCACTTTGATCCAGTGAGCCATCTCTCGGCCCTGTTTATTTGATTCAGAGATGGGGATCTCATGTGCTCCAGGGTGGTCTGGACATTACCAGGTAGCTACGGCTGACCTTGAACTTTGGGTCCTCCTGGCTCCATTTTTCAAGTGCTGAGATGACAGCTGGGTGCCACCATACCCAGTTTATGCAGTGCTGGGGGTCAAACCCAGGGCCTCCTCTTTATACTAGGAAGGCACCACCTGAACCCGAAGGTGTCCCTTTTTGGGGAAGCTTTCCATATCGTCCAAGCTAACCCTTGCCAGCCACTAAATTCATTCCTCTTTTTTTATTATTATTATTTTATTTTCTGTTATCAGCTTGATAAAGTACAAATTCTTATCCTAATAGTGAAATGTTTCACTGGAGCTTGCCCAGTGATTGGGTAAACCCAAAACTTATTATAAGCCACAGTCATCCTAGGGTCCCCCCTGCTAGGTAGCCTCCCTGGTTCTATGGGTTGCAGTCTGATTGTCCTTTGCTTTACATCTAGTATCCACTTATGAGTGAGTACATACCATGATTGTCCTTCTGGGTTCGGGTTACCTCACTCAGGATGATTTTTTCTAGTTCCATCCATTTGCCTGCAAATTTCATGCTGTCATTGTTTTTCTCTGCTGAGTAGTACTCCATTGTGTATATGTACCACATTTTCTTAATCCATTCTTCCGTTGATGGGCATCTAGGTTGTTTCCAGGTTCTGGCTATTACAAATAGTGCTGATATGAACATAGTTGAGCATGTATCTTTGTGTTATGATTGAGCATTCCTTGGGTATATGCCCAAGAGTGGGATGGCTGGGTCTTGAGGTAGATCGATTCCTAATTTTCTGAGAAACTGCCATACTGATTTCCACAATGGTTGTACAAGTTTGCACTCCCTGTTTTTTTTCAAGGCAGGGTTTCTCTGTGTACCTTTTGGAGCCTATCCTGGAACTTGCGCTGTTGACCAGGCTGGCCTGGAACTCACAAAGATCCGCCTGCCTCTGCCTCCCGAGTGCTGGGATTAAAGGTGTGCGCCACCACCTCCCGGCTAAATCCATTCCTCTTAATGTCCAGGCCTGTCCAACTTCCTCTCTGCAAAAAGACTGCTTTAGGCAGCCACAAGAGCAGACCTAGAGCAGCCGACTCTGACTGAGGGTTCCAATTGCCCCTCTCTTTCCCCTCCCATAAGAGCCTTCACTGTGTGTGGCCTCTGTGACCGACTCTGGACTGGAAGGCAGAGGAGCTCTCTTGAAACGCACAGTGTGGGGTAAAAAGTCCCAGCTCTCTGCCTGAGCTTTGAAAACCCACCCATACCTGAGCCTGCCCCAAGCTCAGGACTTGAAATCCCACCAATCCCCAGCCTGGAAAACTCCTCCCAGAGAAGCCCTGCACAAGCTTGCCTCCCCCAGCAGAGGCGGCTGCCCTCCTGTGTGTTTCCCTGTGTGAGGTTTGCTGTGTGGTGGGACTGTGTGGTGTTTCTTGGCTCCGACCGCCTGGATACTTTTCCCTTCAGAACTACAACGCTTGCATGGGGGAGCACTTCCCTCGGAGCTGTAACGCTCACACTCTTTCATTTGCTCATTCCCTCCATTCTGCCCCAAAGGAAATTGAAAAAAACAAAAGCCCCAGAACAATTTCTTTAGGGTTTAAAAGAAAAGTCCCAGGGCAGCCAAGCTGTAAATCTTAGCAGCTGCCTAGAGGACAGAAGAAAAAAATTAACCTAATCTGGAGGGCAACCAGCCATATGGCAGACAAGCATGCTGAGAGCAGAGTGTCAGAGAAAAAGGCCCTGTGGCGGTCTGAAGGAGACAGATCCTCCATCTGTAAACCCAGATATTTGAACACTTGGCCCTAGGTGGTGGTGCTCTTTGGGAAGGCCGTGAGACCTTTGGAGGTGGAGGCTTGCAAGAGAAAGCTGTCACTGTGGCTGGCTTGCCCCATGTATTATTATTATTACTATCATTATCGTTATTATTATTATTTATTGCTGTGACAAAACAACATTATGGGGCTGGAGAGATGACTCAGAGGTAAAGAGCACTGGCTGCTCTTCCAAAAAAGGACCTGGGTTCAATTCCCAGCACGCACATGGCAGCTCACAACCATCTAATTCCAATTCCAGAGGATTCTACACCCTCATAAAGACATACATGCAAGAAAACACCAACATAGTAAAAATAAAGATGATGATGATTAAAAAACCACCATGACTTAGGCAATTTCTAAAAGAAACTGTTTAATTTGGGGTAGAGTCTGTGACACAGTGAGTCTGTCACAGTGAGGAGCAGGGTGGCAGGCAGGCAGGCAGGTGCTGGGGCAGTGACTGAGAGCTTGTATCTGACTCACAAGCACAAGGCAGAGAGTGCTAACTGGGAATGACGTGGACTCAAAGTCCACCCCTAGTGACTCACCTTCTCCATCGGGACCACACCTCCTAATCCTTCCCAAACCCTTCCACCAACTGTTTGGCCAAGTATTCAAAAGTATGAGCCTAAGGAGGCCATGCTCATTCAAACCTGTGGTGGTATTTTGTTTGTGCTCTAACAAATAGAGCTTGCCTAGAGATCAGAGTGTGGAGCTAGCCACTAGAGGCCAGGCAGTGCTGGCACACACCTTTAACCCCAGCACTTGGGATTTCGTGTCCCAGTATTTGGGAGGTACAAGCCTTTAATCCCAGCATTTGGGATGAGGAAGCAGGAAGGGATATGGCTGGGCGGAGAGAGGAAGTGATAAGGCAGGGTGGAGACAGGAGCTCTGCCCTTTCAGTCTGAGGAGTCCTAGAGGTAAGAAGTCTTTCTAGTGGCTGGCTGCTCTGCTTCTCTGATCTTTTAGCTTTTACCCTGATATCTGACTCCCGGCTTTTATATTAAGACCAATTGGAATTCCCGATACACACCCCCTCCCCCTTCCCTGCCCCCCCCCCCACTTCATGTTCTCATCTGCTTCCTACTTAAGGCTGAGGATGAGAACGCTCAGCTTCCTGCTCCAGTCACCATGTCCTCACGTTTTCCCACCATGATGGACTCTTGTCCTCTGGAACTAGAAGCCTAAATAAACCCTTCCTCCTGTGGATTACCTTGGCCACGCCATTTTACCACAGGAATGTGGCTGTGTAGGACGCGGCTCCCACGGGATCCCTTAGTCAACTGTTTCTTTCAAACTCCAGGTCTCACCTGACATACACCTTTTTTCTTTTTCATTTTTGATTTTCAAGACAGGGTTTCTCTGTGTAGCCCAGGCTGTCTTAGAACTTGCTCTGTAGACCAGGCTGGCCTTGAACTCACAGAGATCCGCCTGCCTCTTGAGTGCTGGGATTAAAGGCGTGCGCC